GGGGGCGGGGGGCGGGTGAGCCTGTAGCCAGATGCTCCAGATGCTCTTTGCTCGCCCCTCCCCCTTTGCCCCTTTTGCATTCCTCTTCCTAGACAGCACTCCCTAATGGAAGGTGGGAACAGCGGGTCGAAAGGTGGGCAGTCAGGCCGAACAGGGCCTGCTGGGCCGGGCCCCTCCTCATCCTCTTCTTGGTGGTGACCAGTGGCTCTGAGCTGTGTCAGCTCCAGTTTGGAATGCACCACTGGGCGGGATATGAGTCCCGAGACTGTCCTTGGTATGAGAGCAGACCCTGAGCTGCGAATGTGAGGTGAGGGTTAGTGTCGGGACCAGCCCGGGCCTCAGGCAGGTTTGTCCTCAGGGGTTTACATTTCCATGATACTCCCCTGAGTGTGTGTGTAGGGGTCTTGGCTGGGCCCCTTGAGGGAGCTCTTTGCAGTGGCAGAACCTTGGCGGGCTGTCTGGTCTGTTTGGGGGTAGAGGCTCGCATTGCATCCATGTTCGATCTTGCCCAACGTCATGGCATCTGGCAGGACATGCACGGTCTGCCCTTGGGCAGAGTGTGATGGCCCAAAACCTCGTTTCCTATGCTTCTGATGCAAATTGTACCTGCCAGACCCTCCTGGAGGCTCCGCTGGAGGCTCCGCTGAGCAGGGCCTGTTTCTGCGACCTCTGACTGTGGCCACGGCACTGACACAGGCATCCCTGGCACCACCTCACTGTCTCCTTCCTCCCGACTTTCAGATGCGGCGGAGCCCCATCAAGAAAGTCCGGAAGTCGCTGGCTCTTGACATCGTGGACGAGGACGTGAAGCTGATGATGTCCTCGCTGCCCAAGGCCCTGTCCTTGGTAAGGGCCGGCCACCCCTCTACACCCCAGAGCTGCAAACTGCTCTTCTGCCCAGGCAGGATGGCGTCTCCAAAGCCTTTGCCTGCTAGCATTTAGTTGTGGAGTGGGCCCTCCTCAAGACGGAGTATTCTAGTGATTCTTTTACTGGGCTTCTGCAGCTCTGGGCTCCGCAGGGAGGTGACAGAGGGCAGTAAGGGTCTGGGTGCCCACCCCAGGTTTCAGTTGGCAGCTCTGCTGTGTCTCTCACAGGTGGTTTTCTTTGGGAGGAGTTGCGCGGTTGGAACATGATTGAAACAGTGGATCTGGTCCCCAGTACTCTGCCTTACATTCTTTCCCTTGGGGGATGTGGGAGACCCCAGAGAGGGTTGACGAGTGCCTCAAAGCACAGCCAGGCAGCTGGGAGTACATTGGTCCCCATTAGTCCAGGGTGAGTGCTGGGGAGCTCCCAGGCAAGTGTACTTGGTGCCTGGCCTCAGGTAGGGGTTTGTTGTCTGCACAGAGTGGGTCCTCACAAACCACTGCCCCCTCCCCAGTGTTGGTGGGGTGAGCTGCACTGGCCCTGGTGCCTGGCTAGGGCAGAGAGAGGCATGGCTGGGGTGTGAGCAGAGGGCCAGGGTTACCCAACCAGATCACGCAGCACACCAGCTGCACTTCGTCCTTGCAGAGAGACCTCACTCTTCCTGCCAGCCAAGGACTGAGTACCCTCCCGGCCAGAGAATGACAGGAAAAATGGTTATAGGAGGTTAAAGAAAAGAAAGGTGCACCAGTGGCTGAGAGCAGAGATGTCGAGTCAGCTGGGCCTGAGTCTGAGTCCTGCCGCTACCACTTGGGCTCTGGCATTTCAGGTTTTCTAAGTGCCAGCTTCTCAGCAATGCAAAATACCCTCCTGGGCAGGCCCAGTGGCCTGGTGGCTAAGGGAGCCAGATCCCACAGGACTAACAGTGGTTCACATCGCAGCCTCGGGGGCTTGAAAAAGTCACCCTGGGCAGATGTGTGTAGCCAAAATCTTAAGATGAAGAAGAGATTGAGGTGTAACCATACCCCAGTGGGGATGCATTCACTGTTTGCTGTCCCTAGCAGGTGCATGTAACCTCTAGCAATTTATAAAGAAGGGAGTGGGCAGTAGGTGTGTGGAGGTTAAGGTGCTGGATCCCACACGGCCAGCTGTGCAGTTCGGTTCCCAGACCCAGTGACGAAAATCGCACTATGCATTTGTGTGCCCCAAATCCCAAGAGGAGACTGGAGGAGAAGGAATTGCAGTGAGGCCATCCTCCCTGGCGGGTGATTTCTGTTTTCTCCCCTCTCTCACACCTGTGAGTACATTTGCTCTATAGCAAAAAATCTGAAGAAAAAAAAAATTTATATGAGAATGGAAAGAGAGCTCTGACCCCCATAGACTGCTGAGGGAGCATACCAGCAGAGCAGATACTGGGAAGGCCCAGGCCCTCCGCCATGTCTGACAGTCGATGCTGCATCTTCTCGCTATTCCCGGGGCTTATGGTGTGGGAACCCCTGCGGCTCCCTGTGGAAGGAGCAGACACTGCCAGGCATGTGCAAATGCCAGGCTCTAAAATGGGCACTCCACAAAGCTTTTTTCTCTTTCTCTTTTTTTTTTTAATAACTTGTTTTAGAGCACGTGGGCTCATGGTAGAGGAGAGTGAGAAAGCACCCTCTGAGAGGGCGGCCACACCACAATCCCTTCTCCTGGGATTTTGGACATGCATGCAAATGTATTGGGTGTGTATTTCAAGCCACTGGGGTTCGAGATTCAAACCACACAGTTAACTTTGGAGGATCCAGTTGTACTAGCCCCACAAGTAATTTTTACCCCCCACAAGTATTTTTCTTAATCTTTTAAGTAAGAAAGTTCTTTAAAAATAGGCGAATATGGGGACTAGCCATACCTCCTAGTGCTGCTTCCTGCTTTACTGTTGAGAAAGCCACAGTTAGGGAAAGTTGTTAAAAAATAATATTTTTTTGGAGGGGGGGGACCAGCAGTTAGTGTAATGGCTTTGTTGTTGAACTCCCATAGTCAGCCATAGTTCAAGTCCCAGACCTGGTGACTTGAACTTACGCTGGGTGTGTGTGCATGCGTGCCCAAGATCCCAAGAGGAGAGTGGAGGGAAAGGGATTGCAGTGTGGGCCATCCCCCCCGGGGGGGTGATTTCTCGCTTTCTGTCTCTCTCTCTCTCTGGCGAGTGCACCCACCCTGTAGCAAAACACTCATAAAAAAAAAAAAAAACCCTTTTTTTAAAAACTTTTTTTAAAAACAACTTTTTTAAATTAAAGTAAGATTAAGTAATTACATTTACTTGTATTTAAAAATTTATTTATTATTATAATTATTAATTTGACCAGAGACAGAGAAAGTGAGAAAACAAGCCTCCAGGTCCAGGACTCGAACCACAGTCAGTCATGTGGGAGTCCAGCGTCATAACCACCACACCACCTGTTGGTCCCAAGTAAATGCATTTAAACTCTCCAGTTTGAGGCTCAGAGAACTTGGTAGCTTGCCCAAATCTGGTGGTGCTGGGATATAGTGTTGGGGGCCAGCGCTCAGCGGAGTCCTGACTGACTTGATTCTGGTTTCAGCCAGCAAGTGTGCCATCAAGCTCCAGCAGCCTTGTCCTGCCGGGTGTCAAAGAGGACAACAGCCTTCTCAACCAGGGCTTCCTGCAGGCCCAGCCCGAGAAGGCAGCGGCCCAGAAGCCCCGAAGCCACTTCCCGACACCCGCCCCTGTGAGTGCTGGCCACCCTCACCTCAGGGCCTCTGCTCAGGCTCTTCCCTCTCCCCAGATGCTCTTCCTGCCTGCCTTCCTGTGGCTGCATTTTACTTATTCTGATCTGGGTTCAATCACTACTTCTCAAGGACGGCTTCCCTGACCCTGGGTACTGAAGATGGCCCCCGCCCCACTTCACCCCGTTTATGGCCTGTGGCTCACTTGTAACTCAGCCGTAGTGTCTGCGCTTGGTTTGCTTGGTCCACATCTGTTCTCAGGGCAGAGCGGGCCCAGGCTGTGCATCCCAGTGCGTGCACATAGGAACCACCTCCTCTGGTTGCTGCTTCTGGGCCCAGCCAACCTCCTAGTGCAGCTTCCTGCTCCACCATTGAGAAAGCCACAGTTGGGAAATGTCCCCGGGGCCACATAAAGGCCTCTGGCTTCTAGAGGGAGGGTGGCTCATAGAAATGCCTGCCACCTGTCCCTGGCCTATGTCACAGGGTTTGTTGGGAACACATTGTCCTCAGAAGGTAACCCTCCTGCCTCCTCCAGATGACCAGCGCCTGGAAGACGGTGGCCTGCGGGGGGACCAGGGACCAGCTCTTCATGCAAGAGAAAGCCCTGCAGCCCCTGGGCCGCCTGAAGCCCAGCCACACCTCTCGGACCCTCATCTTGTCCTGAAAGGCTTGGAGGTCTCGAGCCCACCCTCATGTTTACAGGGGCTGGGTGGGGTGCAGGGGTCTGTGAATTCGAAAATCCCACTCAGGTGTCCGTCTGCAGCAAGCCTTTTTCCACCAGCCCCTCCCTAGACTGCTCAGGTGGAGGCCAAAGGGTCACACGCTGTCCTGCTGCCCAGTCCAGCTGCAGGCGGTTCCTGGTGCTGACAACAAAGTCCCACTCCTTGGTCTGCCCAGTCCCCTCCCCAGTGCCACAGGGAGCCCTGTCAGCTTCTCCCAAGCCCTGGCCTGTTCTGGCCTCATCTCAGATCCTACTTAGGATGGCAGGGGGCATGGCCAGCGCTGCCCCCTTCCTCAATCCCTGTTAGTATGTTTTCTTGAAAGAATAAAATTGCCTTTTTCTTGGAGTTGCTTTTTTTGGCTAGAGATCCCATGCCCTTTCCAGAGACAGGAAGAAAGCATCCCTGGAGGGGTGTGGTCCCACTGTAGTCCCTTCTCCATTTCTTTTCCATCCTGTCAGGATTTGGGACATGTATGTCCATATGCCTAGCTCGTTTTCCAGGCTGGCAGGCTGGGACTCGAACCACTGTTGGCCATGTCGATCCAGGTCTTCCAGCTGCTAGGCCACAGGCCTGCCCTGTGCTAGTTTACTGTTGGACTCTCCCACTTGCACGTAACCTTCCAGGGGGCAGAGTCTGGGCCTGTTAGTGTTGGTTGCTTCATCTCCAGCACCTGTGGAGTGCCTGACTAAGCAGGTGCTTAATGTGTGTGTGTGTGTGAGACAGTTTATTTTTATTTTATCCAATCACTTGGAGGCAATTGTTTGGCATGTGTAAGTGAAGGGTCTGCATATCTGCTCTGAGGGTTGTTTTCTTGCCAAGGCCAAGGGAAGACTTGCTTTCTGCTGTGTAGCCACAGGGCCTGACCAAAATGTGTCTGCAGCCTGAGAGCCTCATGCCTGTGTTAGCAGAGTTACACACTCTCTCCATTCCAGCTGCCCAGACATGGCTCCTCCAAGACCCCAGAGACTTCCCAGTCATGCCCTCCCCACCCCCAGATACAGGACTCTATCCAGAATGTCTTCCATCAATGCTTACCCTGTCATGGGGTGCCTAGGGACCTGCTGGGGACTAGAGTGGCCCTCAGGCCTGACGTCTGTGTTCGTGATTGATAATCTCAGATACTGTGTATAGGCTGGGCTCAGTTTATATTTTTTTCAAGGCACTGTGTCCAGAAGTCAAACCATGCGATTGGCCATGTGGGATCTAGCTGCCTTAACACCATGCCACCTGGCTGACCCTACATATATATTTGAATTGTAAAAACATAAAATTTGCCATCTTAATCTTTTATAAGTATGCTGCTGAGTACCATTAAGTACAACTGATCTCCAAGAGTTTTTCAAACTCTTGCAAAATTGGCAAGTGTTCTATAAACAGTACCTCCCACTTGCCTCCTCAGCCCCCGGCAAGCATCATCCAGCTTCTGTCTCTGAATTGGACTACTCCAGGTACCTTATGTGAATGGAATTATGGACAATCTGTCCTTTTGTGACTGGCTTTGAAATTTCACTTAGCATAATGTCCTCAAGGTTCCTCCCTGTTGGAGCTTGTGTTCCTTTTTAAGGCTGAATAATACTCCATTGTGTATCTAGCCATTCATCTGTTGATGGACATTGGGATTGGTTCTGCCTCTTTGCTATTGTAAGTGATGCTGCCATGAGCATGGGTGTTCAGATATCTCCAGAAGAATTATTATATTTTTTTTGAGAGGTTTTTCACTACAGGGCGTATGCACTTGCCAGACAGAGACAGACAGAAAGCGAGAAATCACCCCCCAGGGGGGATGGTCATGCCGTGATCACTTCTCCATTCTCTCGGGATCTTGGGCACGCATGCACACGTGCCTGGCGTGGGTTTTAAGCCACTGGGTCCGGGATGCGACCCGCCGTCAACTACGTGGGAGTCCAGTGACATAGCCAGTACGCTAACTGCTGGTTCCCTTCAGGAGAATTATTTTATTTAACTTTATTTATGCATGTAAATTTGACCGGGGGCCAGGTGGGGGGAGAAATGAGAAAGCAAGCTGCTAGGTCTGGGACTCAAACTGCAGTTGGTCATATGGTCATCCAGCACCTTGACTACCATGCCACTTGCCAGCCCCTGGCAGTTGCCTTTTAAATTTCAGTTTTTAGTGGCTTATTTCAGTTCAATTTTTGGTATTTTCAGGGAAAGCTATCTGCTGTCTGCTGGGCTGATGCAGACTTCTCACTGATGGTGCAGCTCTGTTGCCACCTGGTGGCCACGGGTGTATTTGTGGCAGCGGGTAGAATGAGCCACAGATGGTCCTCAAAGCACATGTCTGACTTTATGACCCCTCTTCAGCATCCTCATCAAGCAGATTCCTGGCTTTAACACCTCCACATATGGGAAGAAGTGACTGTTACGCAGACGCCTTCTCTATTAGACAGCCGTTGTGAAGAAAATGATTCTTTACCCAGAGGAAAAACATTCTCCTTATGATACGTGAAGCAGTAGGAGCCCTAAGGAGCAGGGAAGCATAGAAAGCTGTTTCGTGGAGTAGCCAGGGTCCTGGGGCAGGTAGTTGGTAGGCCAAGAGTATGAGAATTTGAATTGGCCACTTAGCGGACCCAGCGTGAATCAATTTCTGTGTTCTAGTTGTTTCCAGAGTTCACTGAGACTTCATAATAACATTTTGTAACGACAGTGACTTAATCCCCTCTAAGGTGAATTTTGTCTGTCTTGGTTTCCAAATGTATTTGAAAGTAATCAAAGCTTCAGTGAGCTGCGATTGATACAGACTAGTGGTCTCAACTGGTCCAAATGAAGGTGTTGCCCTACATATTAACGGGCTGACCTGCAGATATTCAAGTTATATAATGAATGGAACAGTCTGGCAGGGCCAGGTGTAGAATCTGAGTCTCAAATGCCCTTCAGAAAGTGGTGGTTTGGAGAATGTCTGGCTTTTCCCTGAGACAGGCCCTGCACTGTACCCAGCAGGCAGCCCTGGCCTGGTACACAGCACGTGCCCAATAAGTGCCTGACTCCGACAGGAAGCAATGGAGTAGAGAGAAAATCTTGGGGCCAGCTAGTGCCATGGTGGTTGGGGCACTGGACTCCCACATGGCTGGCTGCTGTGTGTGCCCTAGACCTGGCAGCTTGCTTACTCACTTTCTTCCTCTGTTTCTGGTGAGTGCACATACCCTATAGCAAATTTTAAAAATAATAATAAAATTAAATAAATGACTAAGAAGACAGAAAAATCCTAGGACAATTAGAACCAAAGAGGTGAGAAAGACTTTAGTGCATTTTATTATTGACTTCTAGCTTGATTGTGATCAGGGAATATAGCCTGTGGTTTCCAATCTTTGGAATCTGTTGACTGTTGCTTCATGGTTGAGCATACAATCAATTTTGTAAATGTTCTCTATGCATCTGAAAAGAATATAGTCTAGGTATTGGAGGCTGTGTCCCTTTCTTAACAGGTCATATGCTGATCCTATTGTCCAAATATTCAATATCCTGATGTTTTGTGTCTGCTGGTTTTTGTGTACCTAGATTAGCCAACCCCCAAGTGACAGTAAGCCATTGAATATTGGAGTGGTTTTGTTGCTCAGCATTATTGAGGCAGTAACTAACTGATACAGAAAATAAACTTGAGTCTGTTAAAAAAAAAACCCTTGAGGAAAGTGAGCCATGAGTTCAGCTGAGTTGGCGAAGAACTTAGAACTGGGCTGAGTAAGATGAAGGGTTCTGGAATCCAAAGCCATTGTGACTTTGTATCTAGATTGTTCCTTATGGCTGAAGGTACCTGAGGAAGGAGAGGCTCATGGCATCTGGTGAACTCTCTTTGGCTCTCTTGGCAACTCTGGGCAAAGCTCTGACTTGTGAATAGACACTTGGATATGAATCCCAGCTTGGCTGTTAGCTGTGTCTACTGCACTGAACCTTGGGGTCCTTGGCTATCAAATCAAGGAGAATCCGTAAACTTTCATCTGGGGAAGGGATTGGAGAGAACATTGATGCATACTTGATGCTGGATGGTAAGAAAGAACTCTTTTTAATATTTTGTCAGGGGACCAGCAGATGGTATAGCAGTAATGTCACTGGACTCCCACATGGCTGAATGTGGTTCAAGTCCTAGACCCAGTGGCTTCATACTCTAGGTGTGTGTGCCCAAGATCCCAGAAGGAGAATGGAGAAGGACTGGCATGGCCGTACACCCCAGGGGGATGATCACATCACAGTCCCTTCTCCATCTCTACCTCCTTTGGGGATTATGGGGACACACACGCACCCAGTGTGGTTTTTCTTTTTTCTTTTTTTGGGAGAGGTTTTCGCTATAGGGTGTGTGCACGCACCAGACAGAGACAGAGAGACAGAAAGCAAGAAATCACCCCCCAGGGGGGATGGTAACACCGCAATCCCTTCTCCTCCATTCTTCTCTCGGGATCTTAGGCACTCACTCACATGCGCCTGGCATGAGTTTTAAGCCACCGGGTCCGGGACGTGAACCGCGATCCACTACGTGGGAGTCCAGGGACATAGCCATTACACTAACTGCTGGTTCCCCAGTGTGTTTTTTCAACTTGTCAGGTCCCAGACTTGAACAGTGCTTTTTGTGGGATCCAGTTGCTTTAACATCACGCCACCAGCTGCCTCTCCGTTCTCCCTTTTTTAAAAACTCATTTATTTCATGACAGAGGAGACAGCGTTGCTTTGCCTCAGCTTTTCTCCCCAGCCCTCCAGGCAGCCAGGATCATAGGCAGGCCTGGTTTGTTCAGGTTAATCCAGAATCCAAACTCAGGGCCTTCCTACACGGCTCCGGGTTACACAGTAGTGTTCAACCAGTGAACCACCATGGCTGGGCCATGGACTCTTATCATGTAGTTACAAAACGCTGTTCATTCTTTCCTTACAAGGAACCCTGCCAAAGAAATCTATGACCCTGTTTCAGCTGAGAGCTGTGAGGGAAGTTCCTAGACAGAGGTCAAGGCAGGACAGCCTGGTTGGACTAAGGCTTGTGCTTTAGCGTGTCTATTCTGTTCTTGCCGTGTCAGTGTCAGCCCCGGAGGGTGTGGTGGGAAAGGCACAAGCGTCAGACACAGTTGAGCTTCTAAGAGCTTGCCCTGGAAGCGTCACACAGAGGACACGGGTCCTATTTGGGTGCAGATGAGTTTCTGCAGATAAAGGTGACTTTTCCATGAGTCTGTTCACTCAAAAGATGCACCCAGAACCGAAGTGAAACACAACCAGGACCCAGGAGACCCTTCCTCACCCCACAGTGAATCCCAGCTCTCTCACTTATTGGCTGCTAGACTTGGGAAATCAATCACTTAACCTCTCTGTGGCTATGTCTATATTCACAAAGTAGGAATAACTGCACATGACTGAGGAGGAGAACATGATTTAACACGTGTGAAACTACTCAGTGTCTAGTACACAGGAATCCTGCAATGCTAATTACTACTTGGGTCCTCAGAAAAGTCATGATGCATGTTTGCTTTTGAAAAACACAGAAAATATGACCTCCCAGTTGACCTAATAGTGTAACTGGTATTTATTCAGCAAGAAGAAAATGTGATAAGATGGGCCAGTCAGTGGTGTGGTAGTTACAGTGTTGGTCTCCACAGGGCTGACTGTGGTTTGAGTCCAACATCCAGCAGCTTGAAATACACACCAGGCATCTGCATGTGTGCCCAAAATCCCAAGAGGAGAATAGAGAAATAATTGTGGAGCGACCATCCCTGTGTGTGTATGTGTGTGTGTGTGTGTATGTGTGTGTGTGTGGGGGGGTACTTTCTCATTTTCCTTCTCTTTGTGTCCAGCAAGTGCACATGCCCTATAGAAAAATAAACAAAAAGATACACGTACAAGGGCCCACCAAAACACAAGGACAAGATCAGCACTACTATGACAGCCAGACTGAGAACAATTCACACACTCTTTGGGAACATGGGTAAACTGGAAGTCACACAATGGAATACCAGGCAATTTTATACGCTTCAAAATTGAGGAAAAGAATGTATCTTAAATGTCTTCACCCACACTAATAGAAAGTGAGTGGGGTGGCAGATATGTTAATGAGCTTAATTTACCACTCCACAATGAACCTACATCAAAATATCACATTGTACCCTCCAAACACATATTGTTTGTCAATTAAAATAAGTCACAAGAGGGGCCAGCAGATGGCATGGTTCTTGAATGCCCAAAGTACCAAGAGGAGAATGGAGGGGAAGGGATTGTGGCGTGGCCAACCCCCAGGGGATGATTTCTCACTTTCTGTCTGCTAGCACATGGACCCTATAGCAAAAACCAGCAACAACAACCACAAAAAACCAGTGGGTGTGTATGCGTGCATGCCCAAAATCCCAAGAGGAAAATGGAGAAGGGATTGTAGTGTGGCCATTCCCCTTGTCCCCACCCCACCCCGGGGGGTGAGGTGGGGTGGGTGATCTCTCTTTGTCTCTGGGGAGTGCATGTGCCCTATAGCTAAAAATTAAAAATTTTTTTTTCTCCTGAAAAGCTTTCAGAACATCTAAGTCTTCTACCTGCTGTTTACAAAATAAGTATTGGGTCATAGGAAAAGTCATGATGCATTTTTGCATAGAAAAGCAGAAATATGTTATGACTTTTCCAATGGCCCAATGTTTTAGTTGTTTTTTCAAAGAGATTTTTGCTATTGCGCATGTATGCTTTGCAGAGGGACAGAGACAGAGATCAAAAATAAGAAATCACCCCCTGAGGGGATGACCACACCACAATCCCTTCTCCAGTCTCCTCTTGGGATCTTGGGCATGCACACACAGACACCCAGAGTAAGTTTTAAGCCACTGGGTCCGGACTCGAACTGTAGCTGACTATATGGGAGTCCGTGATGGAACCATTACACCTTCTGCCGGTCCCCCAATATTTTAATTTTTAAAGTTAATTTTCCTCTCCCATGAGAGAGAGCTCAAGGTAGACAAAGCACCTCCATGAGGTCTTAGCTAGTCTGGAGACAGGCACCTGTGTGTGGGCCCAGGATGCACAGGGAGACCCTGCGACCTTTCGGGTGTGTCTATCATTTAGTGCCATGTTACCCTAAGCCACTAGTTGGCCCTGTGTTTTAAGTTTTGTCCAAATACATGTATTCACTTGTAAAAGGCACTAAGAGGTCTATATTAAAGGAAGGATTTTTCTCTTCCCCTACTGCAGTTACCTAATTATCTTCCCTGGAGGTTAGCAGACTTTTTCTGTAAGGGATCAGAGAGTAAACGTCATGTTTTTTTTTTTTGGGCAGACCCCTGTTCTCGTGTATCTTAAAAAGAAATTTTACATGTAATCGTGTCCCCTCCCACCATTCTGCGAAAATAATGCCATACTCTGTGGCCTGTTCCATACTTGGCTTTTATCAGTAAAACCAGGGGTTGGCGGATTATGGCTCACTAGCCTGCCACCTGTTTTTGTAAATAGTGTTATTGGAACCTACACCCAGCCATTTGTATGTTACCTCCGACTGCTTTGCTGTGTCGATGGCAGGGCTGAGTAGTTGCAACAGAAACTGCAGACCAGCAGATGGTGCAATGGTTGTCGCTGGACTCCCATGTAGTCAAACGCAGTTTGAATCCCAGACCTGGTGGCTTAAAACTCATGCCAGGCACGGGTACCTGTGCACCCAAAATCTCAAGAGGAGAATAGAGAAGACAGGATTGTGGTGCGGCCATCCCCTGGGGGCGGGTGGGGGTGATCTCTTGCTTTCTGTCTCTATGTCTCTAGTGAGCGCATGTGCCCTATAGCAAAAATCTTTTTTTTTTCTTTTTTTTTTGGAGAGGTTTTTGCTATAGGGTGCATGCGCTCGCCAGAAAGACAGAGATAGAAAGCGAGAAATCACCTCCCGGGGAGATGGCTACACCTCAATCCCTTCTCCTCCATTCTCCTCTTGGGATCTTGGGCACGCATGCACACGTGCCTGGCGTGAATTTAAGCTGCCGGGTCTAGGACTTGAACCGCAGTCGACTACATGGGAGTCCAGCAACATAGCCATTATGCTAACTGCTGGTCCCGCAAAAGTCTTTCTAACACACATACACACGCATACACACACGCACGCGTGTGCGCACAACTAGACAAAGTCTAAAATACTAAAATACTGGGCTGTTTGGAAAGTCATGACACATTTTTGCATAAAAGAAAAAATACATCATGACTTTTCGGATGACTATCTAGCCCTTCACGTAAAAAGGTTTCTACCTCTGAGTTAAACAATACACATTAGCTTTCCATATCAGTACAAAAAGAGCTTTCGTGCTTTTTTCATGGCAGCAAGCTATTTCATGGTCTGGATGTACCATAATGCATTTCAGCAGACCCTCCCAGTGCATAGTGAGGTCATTTCTGACCCTTGCTACAAATAACCTCGCAATGAATAACCTCACGTTTTTTTTCTTTTCCACATGTGTGAGTATATTCACGGTGCAATGTCCTGGGAGTAGAATTCCTCTTGCAAACCTGATGTGCATAGACAACTTTTATGGCTATTTTCAAATTGCCCTCCATGGAAGTTGTATCAACTTAAAATTTTTCCCGTGCTATGAAAACACCCATTTTGCCCACCTTTACCAGTAGAATTTTTTTTTTCTTTTGCTAGCTATAGGGCTTGTGTGCTCACCAGAAAGACACAGAGACAAAAAGTGAGAAATCACCGCCTGGGGGGATGGCCACATGGCAATCCCTTCTCTTCCATTTGCCTCTTGGGATCTTGGGCACACATTCGAACCACAGGACTCGGGACTCTAACCACAGTCAACTACATGGGAGTCCAGCAACATAGCCATTATGCCAACTGCTGGTCCTGACAGCAGAATATTTTTAATCTTTTGGATGTGTACTGATCTGATAGGTGTGGTTTATTTGCATGCCTTTATTGTGATGGGTTGCTTATTCTTTCAAAGGCCCGGTTTCTTTCTCCTGCCGGCTGTTTACTATCCTGGTCTGAGAATCTTCTGGGGGCTGCTCTTCTCTCTCTCTCTTTCCTGTCACTTTCACAAACAAGCTTTTCAGGAACGAAAGTCTTAAGGACAAACATAGGGTGGCAATTAACATCATCGACATTCCAGATGTCAGGATTGGGAAGCCAGGGAGAGACCTGCAGGGGGCTGCTGTTCTGCTTTGAACTCAGAAGACTGGCTTTTAGAGGGTTAAGGACGTGCTCCTCCTCCATGGAGCTCCTGTTGGCACAGGCAGCCTCATGTTCCTCCAGATTTTTGATGGGGTCCACGTGGCATGCGTTGTATTTGCAGTTGGCCATCTTTTTGGCTTTCTTGGGCTTCTTTCTCCTGCACGATGCCAGGTGGTACTGGAATCTGCTGAGTGGGATTCGGTGGTGAGGATCATACAGGCAAATTTCTAAGGCTTCCGGCTCCATGAGAAAATGTTCTTGACGCAGAGTATCTCACTGTTCAGAGTTGACTGAAATGCCCCTCCTGGAAAAGCCCTCTTGCCGTAAGGATGGAACTGCCCTCTGCCTGCCCAGCATAGGCTCTTGGAACTCTAGGCGTAGATCTCGTGGTCCTCGTTGTATGGGGCCACTAGGTAAATTAGAAGAGGGGCCAGATGCTGTTAGAAGCAGCTACACAGAGAACAGAGCAAACGGTGTGTGAGGCAGAATTATATAAAGCAGATGCAAGAGCCTCTCCCAAGAAGCCATAGCAGCTGTGCAGGGAGGTAAAGAAGATAGACCTGTCTTCCTTGACTTTGAGGGGTGCACTGTGTGATGTCAAAGAGCGAGTCACAATGGGTGGCCTAAGTCATCAGGAACAGGCTACTTCCTGCCCAATGCTTGGAGGGGGTGAGAAGCTTTGGGGAAAGCTGCCATTTAAATTCATGTTCATGGCATGTATGTTGTCATCTAAGGCTTTTAACTGTCCATTTTAGTTTAATATATTGGGTACTTAGGAAACTCATGACTCATTTTTGCATAGAAAAACAGAAAAATACCTCAGGACTTTCCTGACAAGCTAATAATTCTTGATATAGTTGGGTTTAAATCTACCATCTTATTTTGTGCTTTCTAACCTATACTTTGGTCCATTTTTCTTTCCTTCCCTTATTTTAAGCCGTTTTTTAAAATCTCTCTAATTCACTTTCCCTCTCTTCTGCACTGACCAATCTGTTGCCAAATATGCCCCCTTTTATTTTACTTTTCTAGTTTGTCATAGGGTGTGTGTGTCCACCAGAGATAGACAGAGAGAGGGAATGAGAGAAATCGCCTTCTGAGGGGCTGGCCATGTGTAATCCCTTCTATCCCGTTCTCCTCTCTGGATTTTGGGCACACTTTGCCCAGTGTGTTTTTCAGTCTGCTGGGCCTGGGATTCAAATGGCATAGTAGGCCATGTGGGACCCAGCTGCATTAACCATTGTGCCATCACTGGTTTGTGCCCATTTTTCCTTTTAATTTGCCAGAGAGTACACATATTCAGAGACAGGGAGAGGGGGAAGGCACCCCCACAGCTGCACTCTTTCTGTTTCTCCATTCTGTCAGGATTTGGAGTGAGCATGCACATGAGCCTGGCGTGATTTTCAAGCTGTTGGGACTGGCGCTTGTACTGCGTGTCAGTCATACAGGAGCTGGCTCTTATAACCACCAACCCGTCAGCTTTTGATTTTGGTCTTTGTATTTTACATTTCTTGAGATACTTGTTTTTTCCAAACTGTTACGTCACTTTGTATAGTTTCTTGTTTTCTGTAGGTATTTTCAGGTTTGTCACTATTTCTTTAAGCATGGTAAGCTGAGTTTTAAAGTCTGTGTCTGGGGCTATCTTTGTGGTACAGCTGTAATGCACTGCTCGAGAGATGCTGGATCCTATATGGAGACCGTGGTTCAGATTCCTGGCCCAGTTGGCATGAAATATTCCAGAGATTGTGTGAGTGCTGAGATCTGATGGCTAGAGGATTGGAGGAAGGGGATCATGGTGTGACCAGACCCTCTTCTGTCTCTTTCTCACTTGCATGTGTACACTGTCCATCATCAAGAAAAAAAAATTAAAAAGAAAATCAAGTTTATGTGTGGTATCTTCAGTCTCTGAAGCCTGCATGGGTTTATTTTACAACTTTCCTTTTCCTTTTCCTGCCTGAGGGCACTTGTACTCACCAGAGAGGGGCAAAGAGAAGGGGAGGAGACCGTTCTCCCATGGGGAATGGTCATGATAAATCCCTTCTTCTCTGTCTCTTTCTCCTTTTGGAATTTTGGGCACACATGCATGTACACATACCCATCGTGAGTTTTAACCACGCTGGGACTCGAACCACAGTTGACTACGTGGGAGTCCAGCCACATAATCATTACGCTATCTGTTGGTCCCCACCCCCTCCCTGTTTTTTTTTGTTTGTTTGTTTGTTTAATTGCCAGAGGATGTTTACATTTGCTAGAGGGGAAACAAGGGAGAAAGTACCCCCTAGCAGGGCATGGTCAAGTCATAATCCCTTTGCCTCCATTTGTCATCTTGTCAAGATTTTGGGCACACATGTGCATACACCTGACTTTTTTTTTTTAAAGAGATTTTTGCCTCAGAGTAAATTCAATCACGAGAGAAAGAGAGAGAGAGAGAGAGAGGCAGGCAGAGACAAGGAACAGAGACAGAGGGAAATCACTTGACCATGCTGCAATCCCTTCTTCATTCTCCTCCTAAGATACTGGGCATGCATGCACACGCTCCCAGCATGATTTTCAAACCACCGAGTCTGGGACTCGAACTGCAGTTGGCCACGTGGGAGTCCAGCAATGTAACTGCTACACCATCTACTGGCCCCCACACTTGG